TATATTAGTAGACGTGTGTAAAGCTTTAAGACTGCTCAAAAGAGCTGCAGTTCAACTTAATTGGATGCTCACAGCTCACAGATCAACGCGATACAATAACTATGCGAGCGGACGAGCTAAGATCTGATCGGTGATTTAAAAATCATACCGGTGTGTACAAATTGAGGTGAGCTGCGAATCAGTTCACTGATCTTCACGCGTGAACTGCAGATCGTCGTTTGTTTTTTACCAAAATCTAAACTAATGGATTTCTTTACTTATCATTTAACGCATTTCCCCGCCGAAATGTACTAATAAAGCTATTCTATGATAAACTTAACCGCTTCAAACATACCTAAACGTAACCTTTGACTCGGATCTATGATAGAAATGCAATCTGTAACCACAGAAGTGAAAACAAGCAACCATTGCATTGCTGAGATTCATTTTACGTATCGATCCGCGTCTAAAATTACAATTGGATGACGTCTAGGGTGTTTTAGCGTGCGTTTACTCTGCCAAAATACCTACATGGAACTTCTTTTTTCTTCAAATAGAACAAGGATTACAATAGTTGTGTATCTCCAGTGAAAACTCACTCTAAATAACCTTACCTTTACATTTTCTGTTGTTTGGATTACTCAATATAGTTATATTAAAAAGTTTACAAAGCATTTGGGTCATATTTTAAAAGTTCCCGAAGTTACTGTGGCATCAAAGCCCTCCTCGAATTTTTCTCCATTAAACTTCGATATTAACCGGTAAAACTATTTCGCGTACTTGAAACATTCTTTTGACAAAGTTCGGAATTAAAATATACTAAATTCGCTTAGAAATTACTTATTTAAATATTTTCACATTGTAAAACGTGATTGCAGTTTTTTTTCCAGGTAACCCTTTTAGGTTAGGATAAAAATCGGCACCATAGATGAATTTTGAGTTCAACTACCCACAGTAAAGACTAGTGTCTAAACACGTAGCTTGTAAGGTAATAATTCCAATTTCCCATCTTTATACCAAACAATAAACAAAAGAGCAACGCGAATGACAATTGCAAGCACTACCGTTGGTAATTAAAAAATGCTAAGTGTACCCAATTAGCGGCAACATGGTACGCGACAAAAATAACCAATAGTACGCGTTGCAAAGAAAAGCCCGTACCACTCGCAAAACCACGGGGGAGGGGAACTCGAGATGAGTCGGGACCCCCAGACTGGGGGACTGTAAATGGGGGTCGTGAGGTGGGAATCGATATTTTTGACGTCGGGTATTACAATAAAGGGCATAGTTGTGATTGGTATTCTACTAAACAAGAATAATGACTCGGACTCATTAGTTTATTTCACTACATATTTATGGGATAAAAAAAATAGATAGCTAAGTAACTATCATTAAAGAGGCAAATTTAGTAACAAATTGATTACTTCCAACTCCAAATTAGTGTGGAATTTTAAAGGAAATAAAAAAATATTGTTAACCCTGCACATTTTTCAAAAGTTGGACGAAGTCGTTCAAAAACATTGCAACACAGTCTACAAATTATAAATAACTCATAATGCTGTTGTGTGTTGAGCATAGAATTAAACATTAATTACAACTAACAATTCGTATAATCTACACACAGTCTGTCCTATCTAGTAAACAATATTTATCAAACAATGTTACGTAAATATTAGATAACCAGTAAAAAATCACTCACCCAAGTTTTCTATGAGGAATGTGTTTCAAAAATTCATATCTCCGCCATTTTCACAGATGTAGGAATAGTAATAATAGACTAAACAATCAAAAAAACCTTGACCTCGACACAATTTGTTATCGTAATTTATTTCAGTTCTAGGTTAAATTCACTTCTGTTTAAATACATATTGAATAAGAAACTAATAAACTGTAAACATATTATTTAAATGCAAATTTAATTTCGAAAACGAAATAACAATTAACAACGCAAAAATTGCACTGAACTGAACTGACAGTTTGAGTTTGAATGAAATAGAATGAATGACTGACAGAATTAGATGAAGGGAGGAGGAAAATTCAATGTTTGTCTACTCAGCGTTTAAGCGCTGACAGCACTCATTTTGTTTTGTGTTATAAATATCAATCCTTAACAAATTTCGTTAATGATTTAAACAATTTATTTAAAAACACAGTTATATTTAATTATTCTTTTGACCTAATAGCTGTGTAACGCGTAAATCTTTTTTGAAGGTAATCGCTTTGTATGAATAGAATTTAAAAATAAAGCGCTCGAGTCGCTGCATTGCAAAGTGTATCCGAATACGCTTTAGGCTCGTTGTAAATCGACCAATCGCTGTCGTTTTATTGAATAGCTGACACTGGTTAATTTTGTTAGCCAGTGTTTCTAAAACTGTGACAATCTTGTATTTTAAAATATTTTGCACTTTATTTATTATATTATTACAACATAATTCTGTTATTATTTATAATTATGCGATCTAAAAAAATGTTAATGAAATTAATTATGAGAATTGAAAATTATTTCATTATAAATTGTCGTAATACAATGAATTTCGCTTGAGATTGGCACAAAGGAAAGACAACAATAACCCGGGACTACGATAACGCACAAAGAAGAATTTCTTTGAAGGAAATTTGTAAACATTTAGCAAAAGATCAAGAACATAATTGCCAACGTAACTGACATTATTTTGCGTTTTTAAAATAATTCCTCAGACGTCTGGAATATATTACAGAGTTCATGCAAACGATGTAATAAAATGTCGTTTATATAAATCAACCGCATCAAATGTATTCCACAAGCCTTTTCCTCTTAGCTATAAGAAATAAAATATATTTCATTATTAAGATTCTTAAACTTTTGTTTAGTAGACGACGTATTTTGGACTATATAAGGCGTTCTATCATATTTCAACAAAGCTTTTTTTTAAAATAAAATGGTACAAACCAACCTTTATAAAGTATTGCATTTCAAAATGTTCTTTTTGTTTAAAACTCTTCCTTGAGTTACCAAAGACATTGAAAGACACTTAGAATTCACGTATAAAGACAAAAACCGCAAAAGACAAGAATGTTTTACTGTCCCTAAAGTTTATATCTTTTTTAACAGTTTATTTTTTCTGATTAATCCTACAATTGTATCATCTAGCTATAGTTGACGCATTCATGCTTTTTGTTACAACTATTCGTAAGGTGAGTTTAGTATTTTGGAAATCAATATCTCATCACCGTCTTTTAAAACCATCAAAAATCATCAATTTTTATTTAATGTAAAACTAGACCGTCTTCTATGCAGTATTTTGTATGAAACATATATTTTTTTCATGTTTCAGTATTGTGACTTGAGCATTTCAACGTGAATTAATGCAAATACTGTGTTGGCGGGGAAAAGCGACTCTGTAATTACGCTCTTGGGTAAAATCTCTGAGTGCAAAGGAAGTTCATAGTACAAGCGAGTGGCGGATATTATCAACGCTAGTGTAAGTGATATAAAATATTTATGTACCTTTTCCATTATTAAAACTTATGTTTTAATCTTGTTACCTATTTTAAAGGCTTCTTATACATATTAGACCATGAAAATAATCTTTGAAACAAAATTATTATGCTACTCTTTTCAGAAACTAAAGAAATTCGAAGCATAAATATACTTATTGTTATGTTTATTTTTTATTACGTTGCAAATAGTTAACGTAAAAATTAAGAATGCAATAGACATATTGAGGGAAAAATTAAATCTTAAGTTCTTAAATCAAAAAGGATCAAAGCTAACTCAAACATGAAAGTCACATTTACTGACTGATCCGCTTTCACGTAGACTTTAAATACGCATCCCTGTCGACCCACATTTCTCACAATGGATATGATCTTTTAACGCGCCCCTTTGTCTCCGTGCAAGCGTGTTGATGTATAACATAGCATGTTCTAATAAGTCTTAATGCATGTTGATATGTGAATAGGTATGGTTTGGTATCCTCGTATAATCAAGTGAAAAAAGTCAAGAAACATATTAATTAGATTTAGTAAGATATCCGAGATTAACATTAATTTAAGCAAGAAGTGTACAATCACCTGTATTTAAGACAAGTTTAACGAATGACTAACAAAATTGGTACATACTGGATGCTACAAACATCAAAAGACATTCTGTAGTACTATGATCGGTATGTACTTACAAGTACAAGGACAAGAAGATAAAAGTATACCTACGATCTATTCGGTTGTATATAAAATTATAGGGGAAATCAGTGCTAAATAATGATGCCAAAAAGTCGTTTTTTCAATCAACTAAATACTAAAAATGAAACGGGATTTAAGTGAACTGCCTAAGCAACCTATATTTGTTCAATAACCAGTAGCTATGATGTGCTCCCGAAAATGTTATGGTTTCACTAAAACCCCAAAAAACGGGCTTATTTAATATATACGCTCAGCGTTTATAACCTTAAATTAATGTTAGTTAAGCTCGCTACGAGATTTTCATACCTCGGACTTCTCCCTAATGAAATTCCCTTACCTGCCATATTACTTTGCCTCCCTTTGCCTGTATAAACCGCTACTGAATTTGTGTTATACCAACATACTTAATATATTATACTTCCGGCGGTGTTTCTGTACAGAGAACCCTTTGTGCTGCGTGAGTACACAGATTATGAGATGCGTGGATTTTAAAACTATGTTTGACTCCGCTCTTAGTGCCGTGTAATTCCTAGTTTATGAGACTAAAATGTTTAATTTTGTCATCACACGGGATTATTTTTTTTATAAAGTGAAATTACTGTTACAAAAGTTTGAGAACCCCTGTCGTTTGTGACAAAATGTTTTATCTTTTGTGCACACATGTTTAAATGTTGTAGTACTTTTGTGTGTTTTAGATAATTGTTTAATATTTATCAGAGAACGTAAAGATAAATTAATGATAAACACATGACTAACCTAAAATTTTTACGACATTACTACAGTAGCGACATCTCTTTGCGAATATAGTAATTTAATTGCTATTGTCATTAATGTTCAAAATACGAACTAAATAATAAAAATTGTAAGCAAATGTGTACTTTTTAATTTAATAAGTTTTTAAACAATTTTTTTTACACGTACAAAATTCTCAATTATCAAATCATTAGCAAACAAAACAACGCAACATTTAGTTAATAAACAGAAGAATTTTGTTAAAGCTAAATGCTAAGGGTACGGAAATAAAGGCGATAAAATGGCAGCCATTCTTTCAGTCATTCGAATCCCTTTAAATGGGCGGATATATTGTACCACATGCGAAACACGTCTAAATATACTGATTACGATAATGACTTGTACGGATTTTAGAGCTTTAAAAACATTAGACTTTAGAATTTCCTCCAATTTATAAATAATCTGTATGTTTCAAAATTTATTTTCTATTTCCTACTTTTATCTATTGTATGAATAAAAAAGCTGTAAATTATGTTAATTAACATTTTTTTTAAGTTTCTAGAAGTTTGAGAACCAACGTCTACTAATACCTTAGTACTATTATATACGAAATTTTGATTTATATTAGAGCGAGAGAGAATTATTTTGATTAAATATTAGAGCGAACTGAACTGATAACTGCCGTTTTAGTTTTTGGTTTTTTAATAAATAAATTTTAAAACTAAAGATACTCACCTCAGCTTGCCGCTTCATCCGAAAGCGTAGTCAGTTCCTGCAAATAAAAATATAGACATAAGCATCAAATGAAATTGCATAGTATATTTACCGTTTCTATAAAAAAACGAGTTTTTTTTTTAATTTATCGATAACAAAGATACATATTAAATACGGTATAAAACAAGTCCCATTCCCGTATTCTGAATTACGGAAAGGATAATCCGGAAAATACATAGACACCCCACAAAACCGGTTGCGGCCGGCCAAATCCGGTAATAACCGCCCTACAAACCGGGCCGCAATCTCAATGGCACTTTGATGTTGTGGACTTCTCTATATTTTCAGTTTTAAAACTTAAAGTACGCTTGATAAGAACGATTGTGGCGGCGGAAGGTTTTTAAGAACCGTATTTTAATATTTCCCCGACTTTTAGGTATTTAATTTATGTTTCAGTATTTGTAAATTAATAATTTCGAGATACAAAACTAGTATTTTAAAGGAATTATGCTATTCATAGTCTATTTCAAATAGTCTTAATTAATTCCCAGTACAGTTGTGGATAATCTAACGTAGATGCCACGGCCTGGTTGGGCGAAGAACACCGCGGGGTTTAGTAAGTCGGGCCGAAATGTATAAGGCCGGGAGTCCCACATGAATCTGTCCCTACTGGCTTCGCAGCGTGGACGGTGAAGTGTGTAAATGCAGCAAAAAAAAATTCCCAGTACAGTTAATAGCTTTTTAAATTAATCAGAGTACGTAACTAAATATTATTTGTTAATCCTATAAAGGCTTTGAAGTCTCTATAGGATTAACGAAAATTCAAATTAATAATTTTAACCATAAATCCATTAAATAAGTAGATAAAAGTGTATAAAAAATTCTAGATGGAAAATTAAATCCGATTAATTTCTTTAATCCCATCCCCTCGAGCATAGTTGGATATTAAACATCAGCTGTTCTACCGCCGCCATTGTTAAAGGTATGTACACTCTAGTGCTAAGCCACAGATAAAACAAACAGCGTTCTTTACTCGATACATCGATTTGTTGAGCGCTTTCACTCGGTATGTTTAATCCGCTTATTTTTAGTTCAATAACTCGTATAGTCTTTTACTTTTTAAAGGATAATATGCGTGTTAATTAAAAATATAATGTTTTAGCGACGCCATTATTAAAGGTGTATTAGCGCTTAGCTATGGATTTAAAACATTGTATTCAGAGATACGTTATTCGATAAATCGAGTTATTATGCTTTTCCTGTTACTAATTGGTACGCATAACAATCAATGTTGCCAGTGGTTATTTCGTAAGTCTAGTTTAAAAATCTGTAGCTACAATAGTTTTAGTTTA